GGGTTGTGTTTCCATTTAAAAACGTCTGTAAATAGAAATTTAACCTTTCGCCTCAAATATCGAATATTATCAGTGATTTATTTCCTTTATTTCGTAGTCGCTGTTAAACTACAACAGTCATTGTCTTATAATAATTCATAAAGCAAATGGAATTTTAAGTGCAAACGCAGAATCGTCACCAAAGTAACGTTAATTAATTGTAATTTGTACGTTTATTTCTTCAAGGCGATCAGCTAAATTATCATATGACGTTCTCGAATGAGCCGGTATACGAATTTTTTTCAAAGCATCAAGAACTAATTCTGATTTATGCAGCATTTTGCGCTGGTCCATAAAACTAGAAAATCAAATAAACTCAGCATTGCTCATTACCGATAAAATTACGAAAATAAATCTCGACGCGAACTTATTTTTTTAGCTCGCGATTCTACGATCTACCGATATACATACTAAATGTTGAACAATTAAACAAAACTGGCAAACCGGTTGTAATATGTATATTAAGTCTCAATGTAGTTGTTTGTTTTGTTGGTCTTTTTAACGTCCTATCATACAGATTTACCCATTTTTGTGTGTAACGACTTAGATATGCACTTTAATAAACATGTTTTTATAATTCCATCTACAACAACTTTGTGGTAAAATGTTATTACATTTCCGTTATCTTATTTACTTCGAAATATCTCGAAAAAACAATAGTTTAAACAACAAAGGTTTCTTGAAATGTTTCTCTTCCGAAAAACATCCTGTGTAAAATCCCTCAGAGTGCCGTCAATGGCGATTAATAATAGTAAACAGTACTTGATTATACCTTCAAAAAACTCTTATGATCTCATTTGTCGTCTCAATTTTTTGTTTTGCTCTTTATAATTGGTAAAACCCATTTGAGTCACTTTTAATATTTATTACTGTGTTTACCACCATATGATTGTACATACTTAAGGCTTAAGTGGTCCACTTTGCATGGCACTTTGGCATCTCTAACATCATCTTTCATCACAATTATCAACTTTTTCGAAAAAAACTCAATAAAAAAAAATAATACGTCTGCAAATTTGGGCTAGAAAGAAGGTATAAATAATAGGTGTAATTATTTTTTTTCGCCATATCGATTATATGCAACACTTATTTGCGGTTAGAAACCACGCTATTTTTACCATGCACGAAATAGAAGTCGTCCTTATTGTGGTGAACTAAAAAAAGGAGTAAATTTTCCATAAAACTTGTTACTTTTTAAGTGCAAATATCGACAACTACGTTAGCATCATTTCGAGTGCAGTGAAACTGGAATTTTGAACTGGAACTATACTAAAGATGTGTTGTAGTTCAGTGAACATAGCCATTAGTTTACTGAACTGTAAAAAAATGTGTTGCACTCTGTTGAACCGTTGAAAAACCACCCAAGCGCTGGATACACAAAAACTAGTAGAATAGGCTGCTGGAAAGGCAATTTGTCTCTGTCATTTATCCATAGCTTTTTATGTATCGTTATTTGTAGAATTGCGTTCTTTTGTTGGCCGTAACTGTTCCCAATACAATAAAATTGCTAAAGTTACCTTCAAAATTTGAGCGACAATACTGATTCCAAGTATATATTTCAAATTATCTCTCGAATGCATCTGGACAGTCTCAGTTTTTTAGCTACGAAAAACTGTAACGCTTCCTAACTTTTTAACACCCATTATGCTGGCTAAGCAAATAAACAGAGCTTATCTCCTATCGAGAATCATCTGCCGGGAACTATCCAAATTGATAAATTGGATAGCTTGTAAAACAGCACTCCAATCGTTCGAGAAATGTGACGCACATTTTTCAACCTTGTAATTTTTTTATGGAATTTTTTACACCTGAATTTAGAATCGCTTGCACAGATCATCTTGTACAACTTGCCAAAAATAGACCCACTGACGTACCTCTCGGTCGATGGGAAATCTACAGGGTGTCCGCTTTGAAAGACAAATGAATTTTTTAATGTATGAAATGCGAAGTATAAAATAGGAACAAAGTTTGGTGAAAACGGAGCACCTAACCTTAAAATATATAAGTATTTTTTTCTATTCTAGTAGGCTAGTCTTAATTTTCTATTTCTAAGGCTTCAGGGCAGAGATCGAGCCGCGTTCGCTTGAACTGGACCCTGTACAGCGATTACCTCAGCAATTCATGTAATACTAAACATCCTAATTCAAGTGTCGTTATCAACATGGAAGGTCATTATAGTAGTGGACTTTTTCTCACGATTATCTTCAATTTCGCCTCGTAGTATTAACTACTACATTGACAAACAACATTTCCACTTTACAAACGGTAATGAATTCAAAGCGAGGTCGTCGCTTTCATTATATGAATTTATTGAACAGGACGTAAAGGTTTTAATAATGTTTACAAGTGTATGACCAGTTCTGCATGGTACAGGGCTAGCCAAAATGTTAATAGTGATATAATCGTGCGTTTATAAAATTTTGCAAGGAGAAAAAACATGTGACGAGGTACAGTAGCCAAAAATAAGCAGCGCAAAAAAATTGCTATGGTTATTACTAACCTAGAGGTTTTGGTTGGAACAAAAATACTAGTAGTCCAGGCGGTATCTGTTTCGGTTGGGTAAAACGCATATGATCGGAGATTTTTGCTTTAACTGCTTCTAAATAACATCAGAAATGATAATATTTCTATGCAAATAAAAAAAAACATGGGCTTAATTGTTATTGCAAAAAAGTATAAAAAAATAGCAAAAAAATTCATTATTTTCTTGGATTTCTCGTCGACAACTTAGCAACTATTCATTTTACACAAAAATGGAAGAGGAAAAAAAGTTTTGTAATTAAATTTTGATCAAGATGGAGTTACTTTCAATTCGAAAAAATAATTATAGTTATTGCAAAAATCGGAAAAATCATTTAAAAAATTGCAAAAAATGCTAGTTTATTTGTCAATTTTTTTCAGACACTTGAATAATACCTAGGATCTTCATACTTTTCCCAATTAAACTTCTTAGTGCATAGAATCATCACACCAAATTTCATCCAATTCGGTTCGATAGTTTTTACATAATACCTAATTGTTAATTTTTTTTTAAATTAAAAAATTTTCAAAATCAAATTTCTAAAAATCTAAAGCCTTTGAATACTTGAAAATTTCACCACAAAAAGAAGAGCTCTCAAGCTTTAAAATGGTTTTTGAAAAATTCAAATCGGACGATTAGGTGAGCCGTGGTGATTGTTTAAACATTTTCGCAATTTTCACGCTTATAAACAAATGCAATAATTTAATGTTTTTTCAATTTTTTTTTATTTTAAAATATGGTTTGAAAGTACTCGGAAAGACGAGTATTTTAAAAAATAACCTGATGATCCACTCATTATTTTCGGAGTTATAGCCCGTTAAAGTTAACCCTTATTTACAGCAAAACTATAAGGGTATAAGGGCTGTTTTTTGAACTAATAGGTTTGTCATTCTGAGTACTTTCCAGATATAAATTTTCAAAATTTGCAATCACGGGCGTCCCATTTAAAATGTCACTCAAAGATATTCAAGACCGCGTGAAATCAATGAGGTATCAGTGGTTGGGGGGGGAGCAAACACACAGCTACTCCGATCTGAGTTCAAAAATGCAAAAATTTAAACAATTAGGTATTATGTAAAAACTATCGAACTGAATTAGATGAAATTTGGTGTGATGATTCTATGCACTAAGAAGTTTAATTGGGAAAAGTATGAAGATCCTAGGTATTATACAAGTGTACAATTTTTTAAATGATTTTTCCGATTTTTGAAATAACAATAATTATTTTTTCGAATTGCAACTAATTCCATCTTGATCAAAATTTAATTACAAAACTTTGTTCCCTCTTCCATTTTTGCCTAAAACGAATAGTTGCTAAGTTGTCGACGAGAAATCCAAGAAAAAAATGAATTTTTTTGCTATTTTTTTATACTTTTTTGCAATAACAAGTAAGCCCACGTTTTTTTTTATTTGCATAGAAAAATTATCATTTCTGATGTTATTTAGAAGCCGTTAAAGCAAAAATCTCCGATCCTTTGCGTTTTACCCAAACCGAAACAGATATCGCCTGGACTATAAATAGTCTCAAAAGAAATGCGACCTAAAAATCACAGCGGTGGAAGGATCAAGTAGTTGTTGGAAAATAATTGAATGTTCGTTGTTTAAAGTGCATAAATGTCACAACATTTTTGTCATTACTCCATACGAACGTCAACCATATAACTTTTGTGCTTACAAATTGTTTTCTCATTCAGAAAAAGTTGATATGTTGGTAATTTACCTCGAGTCACAAAAAAATTCAAGAAGAGCTGTAGAGTTATTTCGAGAAAGGTATCCAAAGCGCCTTATTCCTGATCATAGAACTTTTACAAGATTGTAGGCGACCTTGCGACGAAATGAAGATGCTTTTTCGGTTCGGAAAAATCAAATAATTGACAGAAGAGTAAGAAACAATGTTAATACAGCTAGACTGTTGCAGTATTTCGAACAAAATCCACGAAATTCTATACAGCAGTCTAGCCGGGAATTGAATTTGGATAAATCAGCCGTTCAACGAATTTTAAAGACCAATGGATATTATGACTACAAAATTCACAATTTGGGGTATTTGCCTGAGCGTCACATTGAAAACAGACTTAATTTTATAGCTCAAATTGTAGTAAATGTAGAAACTGTTGATCAGAACCTTTTTCGGCACGTTCTTTGTACGGACGAAAGTCGGTTTGTCAGTAATGGTTTGCCAAAAAGTTCCATTCGTTTTTATCAAAATTCCGTTTCAGCGAAAAGCCCGTGACTAAATATTTACCTTAAGGAAAGCCTTTTTTTTACTATAGTCGACTCGTAAGTCGATAAATTGGTCTGTCAGGGCACAGGTCGATTATCCAATCAACCAATTCGTAGCCTATTAGTACCACTGGGTTAACTTTAGATTTATTGTTATTGTAGCAGACGGATCCTTGGACCGATTCTATTAAATAATAATGCCGTTTATTCAATACAGATGCAAGTCATCCTCTACCACAACCAGAGCGGGGAGAACGCCTTCACGGGGGACCTGAAGCAGAAGGAAGTCCACCGTGCCATCACCATGCACCCGGTGAAGCAGCCGCAGTACATGTATCGGCTGCACAGATATGTCAAGGTTGGTGAGTTTTTATTTCCGATGACACTCTGAGTGACGGCGAGGTATCTGTACCGATGAGGGGACATACCTTCGCGTCGTTACAGTTACTGGGATGTGTGTTAATCGAAAGGGGACGAGTATTTAATGAAAATTCGAAATATTCAAAATCTAAGTCCCCTTTTGACAAGTTTCGAGACGCCAAACTGCTAACCAACATTGCTTTGCTGGTACTATCAATTTAGTATTACACTTACGAAAAATACTTTTATCCGCTCCCACTATTTTTGTTACTTGAACTGTCAACAACATAATTTTCTGCAATTGTGGCTGATTTCCACCCACCATGTCTCTTGATTGCTAATACATTAACTCCGGTATTAGCCAGTAACGTTGCCGATGTTCTTCGGAATCAATGACCTGTATATGTTTCAGGACGTTCTAGTTTCAAAAACTGTGTAATCTTATTAGGAATCATAGGAGGGGTATTCTTGCCGACTGGTTGGTTGTAACATCTATCTGCTTGAAAGCCATTACAATGAAGGCATCGCGTTCCGAAACCTTAACATTTTGTTTCTGTTACATACGAGTAATTCGATAAGTATAATACCAAATGCACAAATGTCAATTTAACGTCATCGGCCGCAGTGATTCGTTTACAGCGAATAGTAACAAACTGCTGGAGATAATCCGATCGCAGAATGATTAAATGAAATGTAAAAAATTACACCGATCATTAACCACCAGCCGGCAAACCAAATTGTTGACGTAATCTCGGTCTTATTATTATTATGGATTATCTCGTCCATTTTTGACCAACTTTCCATCTCAAAAGGGTTTCGCAAGCATGAAGAAAGCGCGTGCGAATAGTTTAAAAATACCCCGTCACGTCCATTTTCACTTTCCACAAAGCAACTCCTGACAAATGATACACAAACCTGTATATTCTCGGAAATCTCGCGAGTTGTATGTACCGTACTAAAAATAAATTCACGTTTACAGACTGGCTTTTTTTACATTCATTATCATATCCGTATCTGTAGTAACATCTGTTCTGTGTATTAAATTTCTCTCTGTCCCGCGAATCCCTGGAATCGCGAACTATCACTTCTAATTTTAGTCGCGTTTCCCCTACGATTAGTTTCATTAATAAAGTGTACTATTTGGAATGCTTGGAATAATCGCATTTGGGCAACATACGACGGGATTTCCAGCAGATTTAGATACGGAGAATATTGGGTGTAGCTCTTTATATTTAATTGGGCTTAGTTTACCAGGTGCGTAAAATGCAGGAAAAAACCCAAATTGTAAATGATCATTGACTTCGCGGTATAATTTCTTTATTGCCTTTTCTATTTAAAAAATATATCGAAATATATCTTCTACTTTAATTTTTTAAAATTACTTCAAGTTTTGATACTATTTTTTAAAAGCACTGTACTTAGTTTGCTGCATTAATTATCTCTTTTAAGGAGGTTTATCTGATTTAGAATTGACAAACAAATATTCATAAAAAAATTAATATAAGCTTATTAAGGAGGTATATTGGGTTTACTCAAATGAACAGATGTACTTGAAATGTATATAGTGTATTACCCAGTGCTCCCTCTGTGCGTCATATTTTTTTGAATTTTTTTTTTAATCTAGATTTTAAGATATTGTTGTTCAAAGTTGTTCATTTTGATATAGGTTTATATGGTGATGGACGGTGCAGCTCTTTTTTTGCCCATAACTGAGAAAAAAATGTGGAAATTGTGAAACAAAACTTTTCCATAGATACAACACAGTATTATCTTAATTTTGATGTAAAACTATTGTAAGTTTTGAACATAGTACAGCTGTATTAATTAGAAACAGAAACCAATAATTGCATTTCTGTCCGACTTGAGGATTAATGTGGCAACGTCGCAATCAGCTGACAGCAAGGAGGGAATACATTTGAAAGACTTGATAAAAACGAAATAGGTTTCAAACATATACATTTTTCCTAAATCCCATGTAGATTGTTATCAACAATAAATTATCCACAACAGATGATTTTTTGTAATGTTTTTAAAAAACTAGATTAATTAAAAAAAGACTAGGAAGCTGTGATATATTTATTGTATTAAAAAATACAGTTGATAAATCCTTTTAATATATTTAATGGTTTATAAAAACATTGTAATCATTACCCAGTAATATTTAGGGTTACATAAAATTTTCTTTACTTGATTAATATAATTAGTAATACTTGAGATAAAAGCATTTGTACGGAATAATAAAGGAACATAAACAAAAATAATAAAGCAAACTTTATATTTAAAAAATTAGTTATAGTTGCAAAACTTTTGTAACATAACTAAAATAGAGATTAAAAACACAAACAGTGAGTAATAATGTAATTTCTATCACAGAACCTTCAAAATTGCATCCAACGTTTTCTTCGACTTGGACGAGAGATGGGCGCGAGTGTCATTTCATTTCTTTAGAACTAAATTAACATAATTCTCGTTGTTTTACCAGTTCACATGATTTACGGATTTTAAATAAAGGATACAAATCGAACATTCAATTATTTTCCAACGACTACTTGATCCTTCCACAGCTAATGTAATTTTTAGGTGGCATTTCTTTTGAGACTCTTTAGAACGATATTGCTTATAACTTTGAAACGAGAAGTACAATAGAAAAATTTATCTAATAAAAGTTTATTAGAAAAAAGAGAGCTTTTTAACAGAAAAAAAAATTTGTGTATGTTTCTGGAAAAAATATAATGATGACGTCATTAGTCGTTTCTTCAAATCTCAAAGATAATACTTTCTATTGAAAATGGAGCTCACCTCATCCCATTTAACACCACGAGTCCCAAATTTTATTTAAATTTTTTGTATCCTTACAGCAGGCCCATACTATAGACTTTGAGTAGAATTCTAAACAAGATACAGTTGTTGTTTCTTATTCAGCTAATTCATCGAGCGAATCTTAAATTAATTCAAAACAACATAAAACCAACAATACTGAGCCGCGAATGATATGCACGAATGAAAACTATTATACGATATGAAAGCGTGTCTGTCGGAGATTGACTTTCAACCCCTTTGGACCAATAGTTTCGCATAAGCACGTGCTTGATCATTGTTTACATGACAGTTGACACCTGATAAGTGATATGGGTGGTAGATGGGCTAATACAAACAGCCTATGTAACAGTAATAGTAATAAATAAAAAAAAGGTTAAAAGTGCCACGTACGTTTGTAATTCATGTCGTACAAATAATATTTACATTACGTTGTGGGAAATTATGTAGCAATTCATTTATTTTTCTAAGAGACACAAAAAATCTTAGGAATTTTGTTGTACTACTGTTTGAAATATAAAACAAAAGTAAAATAATCAAAGGTATCTTTTTATTCACATCTCGAGTATAAATGTGAAGTTTATGCTAGCGTACCGTTGCTCGCGTTTTTTTTTTGTTACATAGTAATCATTTAATTGTTTGTTTAACGAAATATTTGAAATATTCGTAGAAAGTTATCGAGTTTTAAGTCCGCGATACGTAATAACACTTGAATTATAGCCTTGTAAGTGTCCAATTTTATTCAGAATTATGTAATCCACATAAAACTTGTTACAAAACGTGTTCTATTGTTTACGGGATAAATCGCATTCTGGGCCGTTAAACCTTAAATTCTCGCCAGGTTAATCTCCCCTAGACGTATTTAGTACGACGGAACCGATTTATTATTTTTTAAAGCCCACTCGATCCTAGCGCGGTGTCGATTGAACACGTAAATATTAAAATCGGACGAATTTTATTGTATCTGAACAATTTCAATCAGCGAACAGCGCCTACACGTCTAACTATTTCGGTCATTGAATGATTCCCCGGTTTGCGATAAACTTGGTTGGGCGCGCTGCTTTCACTTTTGAATCATCGACAGGTTTAAATAAACAGGAGTCAATGAAAATTTATCAAGCACCGCTCTGATATTCTGGATATTCTCAGGAGACGTTTCTATTTCAAGTTCGTCCATACTGTTTTTTTTTTTGAGTTGTAAATTTGAATTGAAAGTTTAGCGGTGTTTTTTTGACCCCTGTTATCAAAAGTCGACGTTTTCGTTGAATTTTCAGTTAACAAAGTGAGTGTTTATTAATACTAAATGTAATAACTGTTCAATTACTATAAATATTCATTCAAAAAAATTAACAAAATGTAATGTTCATGAAATATTTCTATTAAGTAGCAGTTATTATAAACAGGACGATTGCAATTTATTTTGCACTACATGTAAATTGAAAGTGCCGATATTGAAGCGAGTTAAATTTATGCCAGATCCAGTGCTGTCAGTTATTGCAGCTTTTAATTCTGGGTGTTCAATGAGGCTGCTACTGTAATTGTTTAAGTTTACTGCACGCGTCGTGCTTTTGGCAAGTTCCGTTGGTTCTTCTGAAGATGGTAACAATTTATTTGCGATTGAAATTCTATTTTGTATAGAATCTTATATGTATATCTCCGCTACAGTACCATGTGGTTTAATGGTGGTATTATCGGAAATTCTTATAATAGTAATTGAATCTTTGTTTGCTATATTATCTTTGGTAGTTCATCTCTTCTCAAAGCTCCACAAACACCAATTATTAGAATGACCTAAAAAGTTGTCCAAAATTAGTTTGCGTTCTCGAATGGATATTTTTCCACGCTAAGCTTGGCAAAGTAACTTCCATTCTCGAACGAAATAGTACCATTTCCAGTTTTAGATATAAAAATAACTATAATCAATATTTGATCGTGCAAAAAAACGTCATAAACACTGCGGTCATTAAGTGTCCTACTGATTTAGGACATTAAAAATAAAATGCCGGGAAAAGCTATTCTGGAATATGTGGTATACTAGAAAGTACATAACGCTTAATCGACCGATACATACTTTGCAAAAAAAAGCGCACGTGTCTACAGTAAAACTGCGAAAATATCTCAGGGCCGTGCAAACTGGGTCGTCTCTGTATATTTTTCCAATTTTTAGGAATCACTAACGGATTCGAGGATGTGCTTTCTATTTTCGATAAGTGTTAATTGGACGTGCCGGATGAGAATGTTTTATAAACATTTCCGTGGTGTTTACTACGTTTAGGCACGAGCCGGACCAACAGTGACAGTCCTTGATCTTTGCATCTTGACACATTTGTTAGGTTGTAAACGTAAAGTGCAATTAGGCGGCTGAAGATAGACTTATTGGAAGATAATTTGCTCGCGACCGCTGTCACTTAACAGAAATATTGTTTACAGAATCAATAACACATGATTGGTTACAGGTTTGAAAACAAGCTTTGACCTTTCTGGTGTATTTTTAAATATTTTGCAGTTAAAAAGTTTTGTATACTTTCTTCAATTTTATACTCGGGTCTCGGGTGGATTCATATAAATGCAGGATATCTCACTACTTTTTAAGTACCTATCAACATAGTAATCGTTACGCTTGACTCCCCGAGCTTGCTTTCTCAAGGTGACAATTTTTCAGGGTTTGAAAATTCAGAACGACCAGCAGGAGAGCATCCTGCTGCACCGAGACATCGCTCTGTCTATGCAGGAACTGGGATACCGTGTCAGTAGACTAGATTTCGCCGAACTCGTGAAAGGCCTGCCGCTGTTTCCTATACACCGTGGAGCCGATGGCTATCTTGGTGACACCAATGTCTTGGGTAAGTGTATGTTTTTCGCAACAATATATATCAACCTTTCCAGTTGAATTTGCGTGTTTTATATGACTTTTGTCCAGGTAGGTGTCTTTGTATGGCAAATTCGCGGTTTTTCTATTTATCGGGCATGGTAAGGCTCATTATCGACGGCAATCGCTTCATTATTTCGAATACATCGCCATCTGTGCGTCCAAGAGATTGTACCTTTAATCAATCAATTTAATTGAAATCAAATGCGTAGATCTTCCTACGGACTGCATATTTAACGTCGTTGCAATTTCAATGTTTTTCTGTCCCGAATTTCGCTTTTTTACACTTTTCAACGGTAATTTCGGTGGTTTACGAACACCCCAGTTTTAAAATCGGACGCTAAAACCGACTTTCTAATTTCTACGCTTATGACACGCACTGACACGACTCGAGCTGGAAACTGAAACAGGGTAAGTGTGCGTGATTAGGTTGAACATACCGGAACAGTATGGGGAACGAACGGCACAATACATTTTCCGTACAGGAAATAGGCAACATTTTTTTTATTTGATTAAGAAGTTGTAAAGATTGCGATTTTATTCCTTTAACAATCTATATGTCTTAGATAAATCCTAACCGCACCCTTCTAAGTCAAGAAATAAAAAAGTTACAGGCTGTTCGCAAATGTAAAAAGTCACGTGACTTAAAACGTGCCCTAAGTCGAGAAATAAAAAAGTTACAGGCTGTTCGCAAATGTAAAAAGTCACGTGACTTAAAACGTGCCCTAACAAATCCCTTCCCTTCCATATCTTTTTAACCGTTGAAAATATCGAAAAACTAACTCTGGCGTCCCGCACCCTTCTAAGTCGAGAAATAAAAAAGTTACAGGCTGTTCGCAAATGTAAAAAGTCACGTGACTTAAAACGTGCCCTAACAAATCCAACGTGCCCTAACAAATCCCCTCCCTATCTTTTTAACCGTTGAAAATATCAAAAAACTAACTCTCTAGAATTTCGTCCGAGGATTCCAACAAACCAAACCGCACCCTTCTAAATCGAGAAATAAAAAAGTTACAGGCTGTTCGCAAATGTAAAAAGTCACGTGACTTAAAACGTGCCCTAACAACGAGAAATAAAAAAGTTACAGGCTGTTCGCTAATGTAAAAAGTCACGTGACTTAAAACGTGCCCTAACAAATCCCACCCTTCTAAGTCGAGAAATAAAAAAGTTACAGGCTGTTCGCAAATGTAAAAAGTCACGTGACTTAGTCAGGTGACTTAAAACGTGCCTTAACAAATCCCCTCCTTATCTTTTTAACCGTTGAAAATTTCGAAAAACTAACTCTGGCGTCCCTCTAGAATTTCGTCCGAGGATTCCAACAAACCTGGCGTCCCTCTAGATTTTCGTCCGAGGATTCCAACAAACCAAACCGCACCCTTCTAAGTACTAACTCTGGCGTCCCTCTAGAATTTCGTCCGAGGATTCCAACAAACCAAACCGCACCCTTCTTTGAAAATATCGAAAAACTAACTCTGGCGTCCCTCTAGAATTTCGAAAAACTAACTCTGGCGTCCCTCTAGAATAATTTCGTCCGAGGATTCCAACAAACCAAACCGCACCCTTCTAAGTCGAGAAATAAAAAAGTTACAGGCTGTTCGCAAATGTAAAAAGTCACGGGCTGTTCGCAAATGTAAAAAGTCACGTGACTTAAAACGTGCCCTAACAAATCCCTTCCATATCGAAAAACCAAACCGCACCCTTCTAAGTCGAGAAATAAAAAAGTTACAGGCTGTTCGCAAACAGGCTGTTCGCAAATGTAAAAAGTCAGGTGACTTAAAACGTGCCCTAAAACTCTGGCGTCCCTCTAGAATTTCGTCCGAGGATTCCAACAAACCAAACCGGCGTCCCTCTAGAATTTCGTCCGAGGATTCCAACAAACCAAAACAAACCAAACCGCACCCTTCTAAGTCAAGTCAAGAAATAAAAAAGTTACAGGCTGTTCGCAAATGTAAAAAGTCAGAAGTCGAGAAATAAAAAAGTTACAGGCTGTTCGCAAATGTAAAAAGTCAGGTGACTTAAAACGTGCCTTAACAAATATTCCAACAAACCAAACCGCACCCTTCTAAGTCGAGAAATAAAAAAGTTACTGCCCTAACAAATCCCTTCCATATCTTTTTAACCGTTGAAAATATCGAAAAACTAACTCTGGCGTCCCTCTAGAATTTCGTCCGAGGATTCCAACAAACACAGGCTGTTCGCAAATGTAAAAAGTCACGTGACTTAAAACGTGCCCTAACAAATCGCCCTAACAAATCCCTTCCATATCTTTTTAACCGTTGAAAACCAAACCGCACCCTTCTAAGTCGAGAAATAAAAAAGTTACAGGCTGTTCGCAAATGTAAAAAGTCACGTGACTTAAAACGTGCCCTAACAAATAGAAAGAGTGGCGGTTTTCTAATAAAAAAATTCGTCATATTTATAGTGGTATGAGTATATCAAGAGACTGAAGTGCAACAGTCACTTTAGTTTGTCGTTTATACGAGGGAATGTCATTAAATAATAGCAAATTTTAATAAGGTTCTATTTTTCGAGATAATTTTTCTTTGTAACACATTAGTATACAGGGTGTTTTCAAATGAAGTAGCAAAAATGGCACCAGTGAATGTAGAGCCAACAATGAGAGGATTGAAGTAAAAATACCTTATATGAAAGTTGCACCCCTGAGGCGATATACCCTCTTAAAAGAGGGAATTGAAATTCACGTTTTAATTTTTTTCTTTAACATGGGGAATGCTAGAGACACGAAACTTGGTATGACCATCCTACTAATAAAGAGACAACTTTTCAATATTTGTTCGATCATTGACGTATTTTACAAAGGGTGAAACAGTCAATCCCATTGTAATATTTTATTAGAAATTTTTTATATGATGCAAATTGTTTATTTAAAAATATTTATTGGTAAGACTGATTTATTGCGCAACTTTTTTACCTCTTGTAATTTTTCGATAAAGCCGATAGTTTTCTAGTAAAAAAATTAGATGCGTCATCCTTCACTAAAGGGGTAGGTAATTGCGAAAATTTGTAAAAATAAAGTAGGCCGATGTCATAACAAATAAATTATTATTTATCATATTAATAAATTGACACTTCCTGTCAATAAGCTGGTAATTTAATAATAAAATTAAGAATAATTTGCTATTAATTAATGAAAAATGTTTGATAACTTATGACTATGGGATATGTATTAGATAAAGTTATTTATCTGAAATAAAGTTTAATACAAACGAAAAACAACAAATGCAAAATTAAATTTAAAGAATATTCTCGAAATAATTTCCATTTTGCTGCAAGCATAACCTAATACGTCCGTTGAAGTTATAACGCACTCGCACAAACAGTTCTTGGTTATTGCGAAGGTCATTTGCTGCCTGAAATATTCGTAAGCGTTGTTCTTCTAAAGAGGCAACAGGAGTGGCATAAACAATACTTTTTATGTGTCCCCACAAAAAGAAATCCATAGGCGTTAGGTCAGGTGAACGTGCAGGCCAACAAGCAGGGGTATCACGACCACGACCAATCCAGCGATTCGGGTAACTTAAATTTAACATATACCATATCACCTGACGTGTAGCGATCCTCAAGTAATGTTGGAAGATTTTCGTTCAAATCGACCGCTCCAAGCCTGCGTGGAAGAATAAAAGGACCTACTAGAGTATTTCCTACAATTCCCATACAAACGTTTAAGCTGAAATTATGTTAACATCTTGAAACAAATATTTCATGAGTATTTTCTTCCAACCATGAAGGTTTAATGCACCTACTCTAGGAAAATTTGCTTCATCGGTGAAAAGTATATTCATTAGGAAATTTAAGTCATGCCTCGAAATATTAATGTACCATTGACAAAAATCCACGCGGTTAGGTAAATCAGGATCATTCAATTCTTGCACGGGTTGATGGTGAAAAGGGTATAAAAGATTTTAATGAGATACATTCCACACAAGACTGTGAGAAACTTGCAGTTGCCTGGACACATTTCTTGTGCTTGTACCACAGTCTTGTTCTAGATGTTCCAATTATTTTGATGTAGATTTTGATCAACTTTGTAAAGTTTCCAACGTATGAGAAAATTTTGTATAATTTTAAATATGAAAATGTCTAAGGAATCGGTAGTATATCGTTAGACTTTCGGCCGCTGGGCGCAGGGTTGGTTGGATCGAAGTTATTTCAGCAATTAAATTACTGTTATTTGAAAGAAGAACTGATAGTTTTCGCATATTAGACATGTATTGTTTCATTTCCCGCGCGATTATTTATAGAAGCCTACGATAGCAGCTGTTCCGTGCGAAAATATATCGTAAATTTAATTATACGCTTGCCACTGCATCTAATAGCACCCAGTTTACTAGATATTTATTTTTATAGTCGAAAGATACATAAATTCGCGTATCAAGATTAATCGAAAATACACAGAGAATTTATTTTAAAATATGATGAAGACCCCAGCTATCTCAGACGCATCATATCCTTCTCAATTGTTTCAACCGAACGCATATTTATTTATTAACTAGAAAGTAATTTTGAACATTTAGAGGAATTTGAGTTTGAATGCATTCTTTTAAAATTTTTGAATTGAAATTAGATACCTACAAATTTTGTATTTTAAGTATGTGAGATATATTCTGTATTGTTTGTAATCGTTCATATTCAACGTTGTGATAAAAATATTGTCTAAAAGAAATGTTGCTGATTTTTCGCTTCCGCAAATGTTGTAATTTTTTCCATCTCTCATAATTTCTGAGACCCCAATTCAAGCATGGCCAAAACGGTCCACCCTCCTCTCGATATAAGCCTCACTGGCTCTCCCACGTTTTGCTCGATATGTTCGCTTTTATTTTCAAGCGCAATCGATAAAAACGAATTTATTTTTAAATACAAGAACATTCACGCACAATTACGTGCGAATTTTCGCATATGCTAATTGACTGCTGATCTAGAGCTAAATTTACGATGTGTATAATTAATCCCTCTGAATATTATTTCATGCCAATCGTTAACGGTGATTATTTAACGTTCATAGCGAAAATAAGAGCTAAGGGAATCGTTATTTCTGGCTAATATTTAATTACTTATAGTATAGTCTTTCGAAGTTCCATAGGCATAAAAAGTTTTCTGCTAAAGGTAAAAAATTATAATAGTTTGTATATAATGTGTAGAAAATTTCTATTATATGTTCATCTGGCCAACAACATATTTTAATTATTTATATCCTCAAACAATTTTATTATATTGACGGTAAATTTCGTTTTGTTCCGTTTCAAAAGGTCTCCAAAAATGCCATGTTGTAATAATATTAGTAAACAAAATATCAATATTATTTCTCCCTTTAGCAATAATTGTAATATGAATGATTAATAGAAGGTAGGTACCTTCTAATCAATTAAAATTACCTGAATCACACCAAATTCCGCATTGCTGCACTGCACTGCTAGGCAATTTGTCAACCAGTTGTCAACAACTGAGATTTATTGCCCAGTCGCCCAGTCGGGCTATGTTATATGCCGTTTGCGCGCGCGCGCGCATTCTTCAACTGGGCGTATACATTTCTACCACGTATAGTTTGACCAGACCTGT